TCAGATGATGTTCTGGAGCCAGAAGACTGACTTGGCTCTCTGGAGACCATCATGAAACCAGGTCGGAAAGGTTGACCCCATTCTTCCAGCAGCAGCAAGAAACATTGAAAAACAAAGCTTTCCAAATCGACAGTAAAAGAAATCCATTGGGAGCCTCTCTGCGACTAGTCCAACCGAAAACTAAAACCACATTCAACAAGAACGAACTAACATCATAGTGTAAGCAGCATTTCAAAACATAGGACATCTGAACATTCCATCCAAGACTGCACTGAACTGTGCGGCCGAAACCGTCCTTGAAGTGCTCCGTGTGTCGCTGCCAGAGTGAGAAGGGTGTGGCCTCTGCCCCAGGGCCTGCAACATGGAAATGGAAAGCATCTAGCCAAGGAGTGTGGGGGAACAGCGGTGTATTATCCTTAGGACTTCAGACACGCCTCTGCATGTACATGTTCTGTAGAACCTACAGATTCCAAATGGCAGAATGAGCGGCCCTTTTTATCCTTGCCGAAGGGCCGTCCTTGACATGCACAAGTCGGTCGTCAATCGTGTGACAGCGGGGAACTGAACAAAAAGAACCCAACCACAAAGTCTAATACATTATTCTGGTTTTCTGCAATCTTCTTAAGTTAATTCTCTTACGAGATTCAATGAACTGATTCAATGATTCGAAACATCGGGTCATCGAACAACGTGTGTCATGCAAAACTTGCACGGGCGAGTCCACCGGCGACAACATTCGTCATCTCTTGTCTGACATAAAATCATACTTTGCGAAAGACACGTTGGAAAGTTATAGCATTACGTACACCGGGGACTTGCTACGGCTCCTCTTCTTCGTCCAGCGACTGAATTGTCCTCGTGAAACGGCCCTGCAAATCCTTCAACAAATCGAGTGAGCTGCGCCTGTCCTGCTCCAATGTGAAGCATGAACCGAAAACGTGTGCAGCGATGTCGTCGTCCAGCAAGTGCAGGTCGCGTGCTCTCTCGCGCCATGCAGTCTGGAAACGAACGAGCGCTTGTGAGATGGTCGGCGTGTGCTTGACGAAGCCCTTCGGGTCGGGAGTGAACAGCGAGCGTGTCGTCTTCGCGTAGCAATCCCACGTCACCACACCGAGTGCCCACATGTCCGCCTTCGGGCCGATCTCCACCTCTTTCATCAAAGTGAAGCTGCTGAGCAGTTAAGGGAAACGACAACAAAATGAAACACATAGTCATACTTCCTGCCAAAAAACAAGTCAATTCTTAAAGACATGGCTGTTACTAGCAAGATATGAAGTTTTTCAGGCTATGTCTTTGACTAAGAAGCTGAGTCTACGACTGCATGTGCTGACATGACTCTTCTATGAATCAAGAATCAGATCTTTGTGTCAAGTTTTCAATTACAATGGCCATTGCGAGTTTGCTAGTAGTAATGACATCAGTTGGATCCGGGAATGCCTGAGGTTGATCTGGTCCTGCAGTTCAGATCCGCAAAATCATAAAGTGTTACTAGAATGAACATACGCACCGGGCTTACTACTTTCAACTTTCTTCGACTAGGATTCATGGTCCAGGCCTTGCCGTCCCCGGAGTAAAGGCACTCGATCGGCCGGTAGTACGTCGTGTAGACTTCGTCAGCTCTGACTTTTGCTTTTCCATTGAGTGGCAAAGCTCGGCAAAAACCAAAGTCGGACAGCACCACCCGCTCGCCGAGGAGAAACACGAGGAAGTTGTTCGTTTTCACGTCCAAATGTACGATGTTTTTGCTGTGCACAAATGTAAGAGCTGCGAGTGTCTGCCGAAAGTACGTCGTTACTTGGGCTCGTCGTGTGCTCCAGGGAACTCCGTCCTGAAGGTCGTCCGTCTTCAAGTCCCGTGTGGCCTTCAAGAGGTCGCAGGAAGCCCGCTCCATTAGAATTCCCGTGTGCCCAGTCGAGGATGTCAGCAAGGCATAGAGTCGCAGAACATTCGGATGAGGTCCTATCTGGCTCAAAAGAGTGAACTCACGGGTCAAGTCCCACGTCTTTTCGAGACCGTCTTGGTGCACGTCCAACAGTGCAGTCTCCCTGTCCGGCGTGCGAACGGCCACTTTCAAGGCTAACTTCAGGCCCTGGTACGTGCAAGCGAAAATCTCCCCGTACGTGCCGCGACCCATATGTTTCTCCTGCACCAGTGGGTCCTCGGCCGTGTAGCGAAAAATGCCACGACCGTCGAAGTCCTGCGACTCTGCGACGTCCGGCAGTTCTCTGTCCATGAACGAAGCGGGGGGAACTTCCGTGTGTTTGGCCTGTCGAAATTCTTCGCGTTGGACCCGATTCTCCTGGTAGCCCTGCCTGGCCTTGCGTGTGTACTCGTCACGGAGGTCCTTTCGGTTGTGCCTCGGGGAACAGAGGAATTTTACTGGACGATTGGGTGAAAAGGTAATCCCCGAGTAAAAAGTAACATGACTTGTATTAGGACTTTTAGCTACATCTTATTAATTATGTCTGAAGTAAATAACTTTGGTACGTAGCTAAGATGGCATATTCGGGTTCCTGACCAGAATTGCCAAGATTTTACTTCCCGTGGCTTCAGATGACTTGGGGTTCTAGGCAAGGGGCACATGTGTCAGTATCTATATTGATTTTGCAGCCAAGAAGCCACTTGCGCAGATAATGTTTTGAACCGCGAAGTGATGTTTTCCGGGACAGTCGACGACGAGATTTGGGGTCCACAGAGTCCTTGCACATGTCCTGCATGAACAGCGCGTATGCCGAGGGTCGTCGTGACAGTCCCACCTCCTGTAACTTCGGCCGGGCCACCATGGCACGAGTAATACTTCGAGGATGGAACCACGAGTCGAGACATGTACAGAGACTCTTTCCGTTCCATTTATTTCAACAAAACTGAATTCTCATGGACTCCCACCGAGAATAACAACCTAGGTTTCAAGTACAAACATTTCTGGTACAATTTCCAGTTGCGCTACATGACTACTCATTATCTTGTGTGTCCGTGGGGAAAGTTACACAGAAGGTGAGTGAGGGCGCGTTGGCTCGCCATATCAGTACATGTCTGGCCTACTTAAAATACGTGCTCAATGCATGGACGACATGCTCCTGAACTTGAACCCACATCACCGCCACTGTCTCACACACGTAGCAGTGCATTACAGAAGTCTGACTAGAAGCATCAATTGCACGGATCAAACACGCGTGCAAAGCGGAATAATCCTCTTTTGGGCCCGACGAATGTGTGCATCGATGCTGAACGACGATGTGCTACGAGGAGAAAAAGTCCAATCACGGGCATGTCAAGTCCGAGTGAACTCAGGAGTCGAACCTTGTCAATCGCTCCTGCAAGTTTTCGGGTGGGTCACGTCCTTCGTGGTGCTCCACCCATGACCAACCTTGTGTTACACAGGCTCGACCGGCGGCAGCTTCACCTACTTGTGTCCATGAAATACTACGTGTAATGCTGACTACAGCTGTCTTGTACGACACCTTCCAACGACCATTCTTTGGGTCCGTCCAAACCTGTACAGTATCAGGAACCATGCTCTTCACAAGCTCGTCCGTCGTGGCATTCAGCTTTGCGTACACCCGGTCGTACTGCTGCTTTAGCTTTTTGCTGTCCTTCTCGGCCTTCTGAGTCTTGCGTCGGCGTGTGTCCTGTCCGGCCTTCCAAAAGTCCTTGTCCAGGTCCGAGACGGCGTTCTTGTACATCGTGCATACCTTGGGTCGTAGACTTTTGGCCGAAACCGTGGACCGACGGGCACTGAGCTCCTTGAGGGCCTTGTCCTGCTCGCCAATGAGCAGCGTGTCCCGAACGACGGCTTCCAAGTCCTTGTCGTCGACCTCCGGCATCCACTTGTCAGTCTGATGCCTTGCCAGGATTCGTTGAACCACGTCCTCTTCGACCAACGAGTTGTCCATGTTGAGCATGGCGGCAACAGCCAGCTGATGTCCTGCGTCCACACCTGATTTGGGTTGGGTGGCGGTCCAACCCATGTGCTGGCACAACCTGCGCAACAAAGCCTCAGAACAGGCAGCGAAGCCCTGCTCGGCGTGAAAGTCCAACGTGCCCATCTTCTTGTCCACCAAAAACACGATGCCGTTGTTGAGGTGGCTGCCCTGCGTGGAACGACCTCAGCAGTAGCAGTAGCGGCAGCAACACTCTTAGTAAAAAATGATCGCAATCGTTAAGTTTTGCGCCTGGTCAGTAAAAAGCGGTGATATCACTAGGAAGACTGGTAAAAAGACTCGAAAAGGGTAGTAGTAGTAGTAGTAGTAGTAGTAGTAGTAGTAGTAGTAGTAGTAGTAGTAGTAGTAGTAGTAGTAGTAGTAGTAGTAGTAGTAGTAGTAGTAGTAGTAGGTAGTAGTAGTAGTAGCAGTAGTAGTAGTAGTAGTAGTATAGTACTAGTAGTACTAGTAGTAGTAGTAGTACTACTACTAGTAGTAGTAGTACTACTACTAGTAGTTGCAGTAGTAGCAGTAGTAGTTGTAGTAGTAGTAGAAGAAGTTGTAGTAATACTAGTAGTAGGAGTAGTAGTACTGGTACTAGTAGTAGTAGTAGTAGTAGTAGTAGTAGTAGTACTACTACTACTACTAGTAGTACTTGTAGTAGTAGTACTACTACTACAAGCAATCGCAGTAGTTTACAGTAGTAGAAGGAATCTCAGCAACAGTCCTAGTAGTAGTAGTATTACTACTACTAGTACTAGTACTACTAGTACTACTACTACTACTACTACTACTACTACTACTACTACTGCTAGCACTAGTACTAGCACTAGTAGTATGGCCAAAAAAGTGGTAGCAGTACACACAACCACACCCTCCTTTCGTCAATACCCAAAACCTCGACGCACGTGCCATCCTGGGCTACTCAACCTAACTCTGTGAAACTTCGAATCCTTGACTGTCGAATCGCCTGAGTTGTTCAGAAACCCATAAAAAATAGCTTCAGTGCTACCCCCCCCGGGCCGAAACTTACAATCTGAACCGGAGAAGCCTTCCGTGTCAATCAATCATCGTCACTCATTATAGGACGAATATATATGTAGAGAATGTCCGTGTCGGGCTGACAATGTTCAACTGTACTGCAGCCGAGGCACGCAGAGGTGAAACAACTCGCAGCCGCAACACTTCCAAGTCCAAAGATGTGCTGTGCATCCAAAAGAGAGACCGAACGCCCATGTTGAATTCGAAAAACTCATGGTCCTTGTCCTTAACGATCTTGCCGGGCCATGCGAGTGCAGCCAAACGGTATGTCCGAACGATGAACAACGGGTCTGCACCTGCCAGTACAACATGTCCTTCGGGCAAAAGTCCAGAGCACCAACCTTCTTCACAAAGCGACCATCGCTTGGCCCTCCACGCCTTCATCAGTAAACTGAAGGCAGCCAAAACCTCCTGTTCCTCGGCGTGGTTGTGGGAGACCCAGTCCCTCGTCTTCGTCACGTCTGCAAGAAGCTGTGCTTCCTGCACCTCCGAGGCACTGACCTGCGTGCTGACCGACGAATCGGAACGACGACGAACTGCTTGAATCTTCTTCTTCTCGGTGTCTTTGCAGAAAAGTTTGGCCACGTCAAACGCTGCCGGCGTGTGGTAGAGCTCCGTTGACAGTGCCTCCACCCTCTCGTACATCTTGACCACGGCCTGTTGGGTCACAGCCTTCCATCCGTCCAAACGACCCAAGTCCTTCGAAGACGAATGTCGTTGCTCGGCCTCGCGCTGGACTTTATTACAGTCTTCGATGATCTTCGTGTTCAAGAGGCCCGACCAAATGCTGGTCAATACGTGTGCAACGTCCTCCGTAAGGCTCTGAAACCGGGTAGTGCAAAGATCGGCGAGGATGTACCGACTAATCGGCCCTTGGGAGAAATGACCTTCGAGCAATTTTTTTGCCATACGAGAACCACCACTGTGCGTGTCCTGGATACAAGACTGCATCTCTTTGAAAAAATCCAAGCTTGCCCGACGGAACTGCTCTTCAGCATGGACTAGTCCTGCGGTCGCACCGAAACCTCCAGTATGGTACAGCTGTGCCCCGGCCCGCAGCCGCAGGATCTGTAGTGTCAACTGCGTCATTTGGCCTGCGAGCGAGTCCTGCCAGACAAGCTCTGTCTCCTCCGGGGGTTGTGCGCGTGCCAGTGTCAGGTCGAGGCCGACACGAGATAAACCTTCCAAATTCGACAAAGTCCTGACGTGGTCCTTTGCAGTGCTCATCCAAGACCAGTGTGCCCAGCCAGAGTAGTAGTCCTTCGTCATGCCTTTGGAACGCAGCTGCTTGAGCATGAGCGAACAACGAAGCTCTTCGGGTTGCAAGACCTGGAACATCATCCTGGCTGTCGTCTTGTTGTCCTGCGAGATCACGAACTTCGTCATTAAGTGTAGACTGTTCGCGCTGCCCTTCCGCTCCTGGTCCATGCCTTGCTTGGCCTCCTGTATGGCAGAAGACTTGCTTCCACCATATGGAACCGAGGCACGGGCCTGGTTGCTGTCCTGCGAGAAGAGGTCCTTAGTGGAAACTGCCCAGTTGTGCTCCAAGCAGACCACCGTGAGAACTAAAGCCAAGACCGACCACTCTTTGTCCAGCGCGCTGTGGGCCGTCGTCAGGGAATTGAACCGACTCTTGCTGGCCTTCGTGCCCTTGATGCGGATGCAGTCCATGTCGGGTAATGTCTGCAAAAACGACCTGCGTTTCTCCTCCGTGTTGTCGTCCAGGGGGGAGAGGCCGGCGTCCAGCAGAATGTCCGGGAAGAAAAGGAGCAATATCGGGTCCGAGGGGTCCATGTTGTCCTTCATGCGATTTGCGGCTTGCTGGATCTTCAACGCCCACGAGCCCTTCTGCCAGGGTCCATACCTGATGTTGTACAGCGAGATGCACCATGTGCAGAACTTCAGGAGTCCAGCGGCCGACAAGGCCAAAGCCACGTCGTTGTGCGACCTGTGGGCGGGGTCCGAGACGTGTTCGATCCAGAGGCTCTTTTTGTTCCTCAAGAAGGAGACAGCCGCCAGCTGTGTTGCTTCTTGGTCGGTGCACAAAATCATGATCGGTGCACGTTTAGCCTTCGTGTCGTCCTCCGCGGGGCCGGCCGGCGTGCTCTGGCAGCAGCCAAAAGTCCAGCCAATGGGTCGCAAGCCGTGGTTTATGTCCTGCATCCAAGACAGTGTGGCCAGCCGGTCCTCCGCATGACCAGGTCCAACGGGTTTCTCGATCCCGAGGAACTTCTTGGAAGCCTTGTTCCACATAGCTTTCCACTGCTCAGCCGACAAGACGGACGATTTCTGGACCTGCTGCGTGGTCTGACTACACAGAGAAAAATGTGAAGCAAAGCTTAGAGGAAGAGCTTGTCAGCAACAGCATGCAAAACAAACGACAGAGGTTGTTACCATATAATCACCCAGGGGCCCTTTTTTGGGGGACCGGCCGGTCAACTTAAGCGGGGATCTGGCGTACCTTTTTGGGGGCCGAAATGCAGCCAAAATGTGGCCGAAATGCGTTCCTCGGCCTCCACCCGGGACCCGGTCAACTTAAGCAAGGCTGTGCGTACCTACTCATCAGTAGAAGGGCGGCCGGGAGCCTTTATCAGGCCAATCCCGAAACCCAGGGGTCAGCGGGGATACGTGTACCTATCTTTATATAAAATACAATAGAAAGACTCCGCCCCAAACCGAGCCTGAGCGGGGATACGTGTACCTCCCCTCGGAAAAACGATTTTGGTCGGACCCAGAAGCTACGAAAACGGCACCCAAAAAGGTCAACTTAAGCAAGGCTCTGACGTACCTCGCCTCTTGCCTAAAACGCCTCAGAAATATGTGTTGCTTAACAAAAAAAAAAAGCGCCTGCGGCGGGCAGACCCAAACTTTGTCCGTCGTGTGGTTGTACACCATGATGTTCAGCCAATCGTCACTTCCCACGTGCACTGCATCTGCCACCACGCACAAAATGTCCGTCGAGAGGAAATCTGACTTGCCCTGCGTGACATAGGCGTATCGCTCCATGCGTGCTAGCCTGTGTGCGTCCATAGAAGCGTGCTTCTTGATCTTTTGTTCGTCCTGCTGTTCGCTGCTGTCCTGCACGGTGAACGCATGTCCTTGCAATGTGGAGGTAAGTGTCCTGCGTGTGGCATTCGATGAACTCGCAACCTCTTGTCGAAAACTCGTGGACGACCGACGATATCCGTAGGTGCTCCTGAAACAACAGGGGGAATATCAATTTTCGGGCTTTCAAGACACAACCCTACATCTTAAAACCCCGGAACCCTCCAAACCCTTCAAACCCTCCAAACCCTCGAATCGAAACCTCTCTCCTAAGCTGCATCACTTGCTTCACATTCAAAGATGTCCAGCAGGAATGCGTGTCGTCCGACGAATCCATGGCACGTGCCAAAGCCGCCAACAAGTAGTACTTCGTCCTCAAACTAGATGACTTGCGAGTGTCTCCAATTGTCCGACGGGTGCAGTCCACATTCACATCCTGCAGCACGTCCATGAATCGGGAACGATCGCGGTGTAGTACTTTAGCAAGTAAACTGTTTTGCAGTACAACCTCGTCCACGTCCAGCGAACCTCCTTTGAACGGCAGCACCAGAGTGTTTCCGTCCCACGTGGATGAGAAGTCCTGCGGGGTCTGCAGGAACAAGGAAGCGAGGCCTTGAAGCAACTCCCCGGCCAGCTTGGATACCTCCTCTGCCGGCTTCTTCCATTTGGCATCTTTGCGCATACCCTGGTGCCATTGATGCAAAAGAACAATCGTTGCAAAGCTCGACGTGGCAAACTCTGTACAACGTGTGCTTCGTCCAGCTGCTACCTCTTCCATCTGGTCACCCGTGTGCTCCTCATTGTCCGCTTGCTCGTTGTCGTCCTCCATGTCGTCCTGCATCTGCTGCGAGGATGCCTTTCGTTTGGTGCCCTTCTTCTCGGCGTTTGCAGCGTGCTCCTGCTGCTTGAGGAGGGAGAACGAACTCTGGAGAAAGTGCGACTCGATCTCTTTTTTTCAGAGCGTCCTCCGTGTCTGTCCAGCAGGGCCATGCAATCGTGAAGAGCTTGTTCCTGAACGTCGACACACTGCCTGCGAGGAAATTTCGAGACTCGTGTCCTCCGAGGAAGTCCACAAACCAACGCATGTGCCAAAAACGATGTCCATCCGTTACCTTGGTCTGCGGCTCTTTGAACTTGTAGCTCTCGCCCTTGAGGCTTCCGTGTGTCCCGCAGGGAATGCAAAATGCAACTGTCCGACGCTTGTCCGACGCAGAGCTGAAAAAAGCTGGAGGTCCTGAAGAAGAGGGTCCATCGGCAGAAGCGGGCTCCAGCATCTGATAGCGAGTGGATCAATTCTACAGTCTGTTTCTGGTGAACGAATGTAGCAAAACTTTATAGGCTATGTCCCAGGAAGTATATGTGACATCTGCCAAACCAAGAGAAAGGGAGGCTCTGCAGGCATGCAGCTTTTATTCTGGAAGCCCAAAGACAGCGGCAACGAATCGCTGATGTCGCAAGGCAGTGCTCACACCACGTGTCATGGGTCTGTGTTCTTCTGCAACATGTATGTAGCACATACTGCAAGGCACCGCAAGGAAGTCATTATTGCAGTCAGCCATTCATCGCACGTATTCTTTTATGCAGCTTGCAAGTTGCCGGCTTCACGGCCCCAGTGAAACTCGTGCCTGTCCACTCACTCAGACACAATGGGTCGAACGGCGAGGCGAACGACATTGTGCTTTTCGAGTGAACAAACTGGACAGAACAACGAGTAAAGTCAACCCCAACCTCAAGACACACTGAACTACCAGGAGAGAGTGCATTATGCACTCCGGACCGACGGGGTGCCCTGCGGCACATTGTCGCCGAGGCCAGCCGTGGTGTCTGCGTCCGACGACAAGTCGAAGGTCCACTTGGCCTTCATGTCCGGCAAAGTAGGAAAGAAACTCGCGCATTCAAAACTGAACAACGAGTTATGCTGTCCATCTGAAATGACACAGTCCACCGCAAAAGGGTCGTCCAATTGCCACGTCTTGTTGTCCGGGAGAGTAGGAAGCTCGTGGCTGAGGTACGACTCGTGGGGTACGAACTCCGAGCGGGAACGGCGAGGGTGTCCATCTTGTGTGGCAAAGACGTGGCAGTACAACGTGTTGTTCTCAAGTGACCAGATGTTGTACCTGTCCCGGTCAACACTGATAGCCTCCGCCGAGTTCACCGCAGCTATGTAGTTGCGACCAACGTCCTCCATGCGGGCCCTCGCTAACTTGACCAACGTGGACTGATAGCGAATGTCCGCACGAGATGGCAAGGACGCCGACTTGGCTGCCCAGAACTGGATCTCGAAGAGGGTCCGTACGACGGGTTCGTCCTTCTGTACGTCCTCCGCGAGCTCCACACCGCAATGCTTGAGCATTAAGCTCGCCATCTCAAGCGGCAAACTGCCCCATTTTGTGCACTTGCCCTTCCATCTCAGTCCACCGGTCTCCTCCTTCTTGGCAACGTCCTTCAGAAGACCATTCAACGAGCCCGAGCGGATCAGACCAGCGAGTGGAGAAATCCAAGTCGGGTTCTGGGTCAGCGTGTCTTGAATGAACCGCATGTCCACGTCGAGTATGGTGCTTTTGGAGTGCTGAACGGCGGATGCGAACGTCGCCTCGTTGCGCTCCCGGGTCTTGATGTCCTTCGCTTTCTGCTTCGCCAGCTGCTTGAGGGGGGGCTTGCGGGGGCCGGCATCACGAGGCATGCTGGGCAAGGTCCGTCGAGGAAGAACGACGGGGGAAGGATGATAAGACTGCACGAAGTCTCAACGCACAGGCAGGACGGCTTCGGAAAACCAAACAATCAATCAAGCCCTGCTGCTGGGTGGTCTCACAGTGCATTGTGACTGGACGAACATGGCAAGCAAGACACAAAGCGTAGACCGCACGAGAGCACAGTGCCTGAAACGAGAAGGCTCAGCGGCAGCGATGCCGGCCAATGGAGTCCGTGTCCTCCATATGAACAGGACAACAGCGATTGCAAGAGCGCCTTCCTCCAGCTGGTTGACTACTGGTCTAGTATTTACTCGTAGCAATACTAATCCAGATTGCGAAGAGTAGTACTAGCAGCAGTACCACTACTCATTAAAGAAAGGAAAAACCAGTAGGCCGAAATTGCAGTCCCTATTAGTTGAAGTAGAAGTATTAGTAGTAGTAGTAGTACTAGTAGTACTAGTAGTAGTAGTAGTGTACTAGTAGTAGTAGTAGTAGTAGTAGTACTAGTAGTAGTAGTAGTAGTAGTCGTAGTAGTAGTACTAGTACTAGTACTAGTCGTAGTAGTAGTAGTAGTAGTACTAGTCGAAATAGTAGTAGTAGTAGTAGCAGTAGTACTGGTTAGCTAGTAGTAGTAGTAGTAGTACTAGAAGTAGCAGTA